GTATAGATGATTGTAAACCTGGAAGCGGTGGGCACGAAACTGGCATTGCTTGAAAATTTGGAAGTTTACCTGTTAACTTATTATTTATTTATTATGTTTTTTGTGTCAGGCCCAGGACAATATGACTTCAAAGAAGCGGCAGGCCGAGGAGGATTAATGACCACTCGCCAAGATAGATTTAGACCAATCAAGAGTGAGACCCCAGGGCCAGGCAGCTATGAGGTAGGCTATATGGATCGTGTATATGTGTATATGCCTATTAAAGTCAAACCCAGTTAATAAGGACACTGAGGGGACCATAGAAAGTAACAACCTCGTCCCCAGGGCGCTTTTCGCCCTGGGGACGAGTTTGAGAAAGTAACCGTATTGTTGGCTTTTCTTCGACTTCTCGGAATAATGACAACTACTTTCTAGCTTTGGCAATTTCATGCAGCTCCTTGGTTTTCACTGCTTAGTTCAAAGGTGGGTTGAACAATTGCATTTCCGGCCGACTTTACATCTCGTAACGTATAATGCGGAAATGAAGGCTTACGCTTGTTAAGTAAAACAGAGCCAAGAAAGTGACATGGTTTTGAATGCAACTATAACACTTGCGCGGAACAATGTATCGGGGCTGGGGCACCTGACGACTTTTTTCCATGAAATAACTTTTCGAAGGAGCAAATACTGCATAGAAATTTGTAAAGCTCGCCTCGAGCTTCCGAAATTATCCAGAAATTATCCAGTTATCCAGAAACTGTTAAAACAATTTCTGAATAACCCTGCCACTTGTCTTCGGAGTATTTTTATTAACTTACCAACGATTTTCGGAACTTGTCTTTCACATTTTATTATCAACATATTGCCATTATTTTTAAAAAAGGAACATGTCTAAGGAAAACTTGTTTCGTTTGAAAACATGTTTACTGCAAAGCTGTTGTTTCTGTTGGTGCTGACTTTGACACAACATAACCTGTCTCTTTTCCTTCTGTTTCAGCTGAGTCCGCTACAGATGCATACCACGCTAAGAGGCACATTTAATGCTACTCTAAACAACCCTGTGGCCATGTCTTACGATGATGGCTTGGAAAGGAGATCGCCGTCAAAACAGGCTTTTTTACTGGGAGTTTAATACTTAACGACCTGCAGTGAATCTTCTTTTATAGAAATTTACACACTGAATAAATCGCCTTTCCGAAAACCAGGGATTTTTTTTTTTTTTTTTTTTTTTTGGGGGGGGGGGGCCCCTTTTGCGGTTTCAAAAACCTTTTAGGGCTGGAAAAAATAACGTCTTTATTAATTTTTTTTGGGTGTTTTAAAATTTTTTGTGTTTTATTTGTTTTTTTTTGGGGAAGGAAGGATATTATTTTTTTTTTAAAAAAAAAAAAAAAAAAAAAAGGAGATAGGGTTTTTTTTTTTTTTTTTTTTTTGGGGGGGGGGGGCCCTCTATGCGAGTTCACAAACCTTATACGGACTGAAAGAATGAACTCTGTAGTAATTTTAATCTGGTCGTGTACATATTTCTGAGATTTAATGGTTCTGTATAGGGACAGGAAGTCATATATTTATTATTAAAGCAAAAAGAAGCAAAATCAAGGGCATTCCTGTTGTTGATAGCCTGCGTTGAAAGCAAAGCGGAAACGCTAGCTACACAGGCTAAGTTGTATTACCCCCTGTTTCCGCCCTGAAGTACCTCGTGACATTACTTTTCTTGAAGAGTAAATCAAGCGCAAAGCGGGAGGCAATGGGAAGACAAAAAAAATTAACGCCCATGAGCAGTACATTTTCAAACCTCTTCCAACCGATCATCTGGCGATCAAAGACGCTAGTTGGTCAATTTGCTGGTTTGAGACAGCTTTTTCCCTCTTCACCTCATCGCTCATCTTTCGCGCTTCGCGCTCGTCTGCGTCTTCTACTGCAATTCTCTTCCTTCTTGCTCGGTTAAATATAGCCTACCATTAACACTAATGCCGTTCGTTCTTCAGTTATTTCCTGGGGCTCTCTTTAAAGCAAACCGGGTTTTCGGCAAGCGGGCTGGGTCATCATTATCAGTAGCAGGGAACACTCCAACCTCGAGGTTGGGAACACTCACATAAATAGAACAGCGCCCCCCACCCCCTCCCCGTCCAAAAAAAACCGCACAAATTATGTAATCGTTTTTCTTGTATGGCGCGCGACTGTTACAATTACTTCAATGTTAGGGTTTCTTACCCTTGGGTGTAACGATTTAAATCCCTGGTTGTCCAACAGACATATCCATTTTTTTCCTCACATGTAAACAAAACGTAAATTTTATGAGCGAATAAGGCATGAGCTAAACCATACCGGGCTGGCTCATCTCTTGTTAATACTTAAGTGGCTCGTCCACGTGACGTCTCCACGCGCTGAGCCCTATCGTTTCAGTGGGCACTTAATGTGATAAAGCGCTGTTCCACCGAATTGAAAATTCCAATAAGTCATGGTTACGTGGCAAAATTACAAGTTCGCCCGTAAGCAGTTTGTTGTCAGTCTTATCTATTGGGATATTAATATGACGTTTTTTTTCTTTCCTGACGCTAATGTTAATGAGAAATTTAGTGTTATAAGTTAGTTACTTTTCATTAGACAAAAGCTCTCGCTTTTTCAAGAAAGGAAAAATCTTTTCCTTTCAGCGTTACTTGTAGGACTTGTCATTCATGTCTGAATTTATTTATTTATTGTTTTTTTGTTTTCCGTTTTGTTTTGTTTTGTTGTTTTTTTTTACGTTGATTCACAGCGAATAAACTTTATGCCTTTTTGTTTCTATGAACAATTACCAGTCCAGAAAGTCGGCTGTAGTGAGAATAAGTTTGACTACATTCGTTGAGCCAATTCATACGTTGATAGAACGAAAATAGCACCGTATTCCTCTTTTTTAGCCCACGTATGTCTTATATTGCATTTAGCCGCGGGGCCTAGCAACCGGATTTTGCAGGCAAACACGCCGTGTGTGGTATCAGACTAGCAAAAATCGGAAATACGCTTCAAAGAATTGCCTCTTCTGGCCTGTAAAAACGCACTTACATCTATATGAGAACGTCTGCGTAGGAGGTTAAGAAAACAAACAATGGCGAACAATTCTTGCAAGGACCTCTCGGACAAACAGCAGCGAGGAGTCAGGCCGATCTTGGGTGTAGATCAGAGAAAACTACTTACGATTGAAGGCAAAGCTTAGCTTTTCTATAGTCCCTGATGAAGGCTAGCTAGTTTTGTTTAGTCGAAATTCTGGGCAAATAAATTACTCATCCACTATAGCTGTCCGATCTGCCTTGCCGTTTTCAGTCTTAAGAAAACAATGCCAGTTATCCATTTACAGAAGGTTTTCGAAAATTCTGGGAGAAAGAAAATGGAACACGACCTTTTCTTTTCAAAGGAAGTCGGATGCCGGAAGTTTGCAAAGGAAGTCGGATGCCGTTCTCCAGTCGGGGTCGGAATGTTTCAACTGAATATGTCATTTTACGCACTGGTCAGCTGAATGGTATGGTAGAGAGTCAGCACAAGCTGGAAATGGAACGGCACTTTTACGTAACCTTCAAAATTTAAGGATTTTTAACGATATTAGGGAGATTTCAGATTTTAAAAAAGGCTCGCTGACTTTTTCTTTCTCTTTACAGAACATCCTTGTCATCCTTTAAGCAGGCTCCACTCCGGCTAAAACTTGTGTATTGGTCATAAATCGGCCTTAGAAACAAATTATTGTAGGGTTAAGAAACAACTTTTTTCCCCGTAGAAACAGTGCCGAGGAGGAGCCTATAACCATGGGTTCCTGGTCAAGGAACTTGGGATACCTGTGCTTCAACAACGCTCCTAGGAACAGTCACAGAAACTCTGCACCACCCCCCAGGGGGGGGGGGCACTTGGGTATTTTTTTGGGTGGGTATGTGCCGCCCGGGACTCCAAATTGGCACCCCGTTCTAAAAAAAATTTCCCCTAAAATTGATACCCCGTTCTAGAAATAGGCCAATTTTTCTATACCCCGTTCTAGAATTCGCCCTAAAACTGATACCCCGTTCTAGAAATGGGCCAATTTTTTCTACTCCGTTCTAGGGTGCAACAAGATCGAGTACAACAGTTTGCTTGTTAACGCATTAAACCGTATTTTTAAAAGCAATCTGTCCTTGAATAATTTTAAATGGCTTCCTACAAAACTGGAGCTTTCGTGAGTTCGAAATATTATGCCCCGTTCTAGAAAATGCCTCCGAAATGAATACCCCGTTCTAAATCAGGAACTTCAAAATCACGACCCCGTTGGGCGGCACATACCCGTATAGGTAATGTATGGGAGTCCCCCTCCCCCCCCGGGGCACCACCACCACTGGGGAGAGCCGCTCGCGCGTGACTTCTCACGAGAGAGCTAAGTTACGTGAGAGTGAACGAGGCAAACACGCGCGAGAGAGCGAAGCAGTCCAAAAGCGTTGCATGACGACACAGTAAGCAGTTTCGCTACTATTTTCTTCGTTGAAGTTGGCTACCTACATTTACATAACAGCATGTATCTTTGATCGTTAATCATCATTTTTTTTGTTCGTTTAAAGTGTCTCATAGTGACATGTTTTATGGCTATACCTGAAATTTTTGCCTGTGGACCCGGGCTCCCGGGACATCACTGACAATTTTTTAAAAGCGCGCGGCACATTTGTCTTGATCATGCAACTACTAAATATAAATAATCCCGGAGTTGTGTAATTATAACTATTTTAATCTTTCTCTAAATACACACACAAGTTCGCAAAACAGCAATGAAAAGAAAAAATGAAAATCAATACCGTGACAGAATAACGCAAAGTCACGCAGCAGACACGCTAGAATCACATGCAAATTAAGTATATGAAACCAAGCCTTTGTTGACGCGCTGTCACATGATGCAGACGCACTTGATGTAAATATAAATTGACGGCAAGGAAAAAGAGAGTTAGTCGCCTGTAGCTTTTGCGCGGTGTGGCTGTAGTTTTCGTCTGGCGCATCTACTTTAATCAGGAAGAGGATCACGGCAGAACGGCAATATGCTTTCTACTATGCGAAACTTTTGCTCCTCAGCGGCCCGAAGCCTTCGTCCCGTTTTGTGCTCGACGACTGTTTTGGCGAGAAAAGCTCACGGCCAGGCGAAAGCTCAACCACCTTCATTACCGACAAGCTCCGGCGACGAGTTAACGCTTGTAAGCGGTAGGTTAAAAGTTTTCTTATGTTTTAATTTCCAGGGAAAATAATCTTGTTTGTTTAACGTTGGTATTTATTTTTCTTGAGTAAAAAGGTTCTCAAAACCACTTCAGGGTTCGCGCGCTTTTCGTTTTTATTTTTTTTGTTCGAGTAAGATTTACAAAACTAACCAGACAAATCCTTTTTTATGGTGGTAGTGCAGTCTTTTTAACACGTGTTGTAACTCTAAACGGGAAAGAAATTTGACTATCAAGAAATTTTGCTTCTCACTTGACGAAATTGAACTGGTTTGTCCGGTTTCGATCGTATGTTTCCGGTACACAGTCTGCTTTTCTTGCATTTTATTTTTGGAATTGTTATTTTATCGCATTTTTTCAGTTGGAACCGGGAAATATTTTATGAGACTGCAAGCAAGAATTTTGTTTTTCTTTTGGAGTCGCCATTCTTCAAATATACATAAGGTTGTTTTCAAACCGCTCTAAGTACGAAATACGCAATGGCCTACGCAATGCAGCACACTCAGTATTGAACGTCCCGGCTGCATCGAAAACACTGGTTACGTAACAGAGGCAATCATCCCAAGTTTAGTACAGCAAGTATTTAAATAAAGATGTTGTGTTATCTTTGTTGCCTTAAACGGAGAGAGAAAAACCGAAAACATGTGTTTGTATGAATTATTGAGATGTGCATAGTTAGCTGGTGGTAGGCGCATAAAGAGTATTGGACACTAGATGTTAATTTTGAATTCCCATTGGCAGACAGTCTGGCAAAGAGTGAAGAGATTAACCTGTTACTAAAAGGAAATAAAACTTGAAAATGTCAACTCTGAAGTGACAGGTCACTCTTGCCACTTGTTGGCAACATATTTTCCAAAATATATTATGGGTAGTTGTTTATTTATTAATTTTGTTTTTTGTCATTGTTCTTTTCAAGCAGCAAAGAACAATTCAGCATATTTGCAACTGAGTGAATGAAGTAATAAATTTTGATGATATTTGAAACAGGCTTTATAGATTTAAAAAATTTTGTAATTCCTGTACTGTTGAGAGTCCCCAGTGGGGTTCCTAAATCCATCCTCTCGACCAAAATTTTCCTGCCATCCTCTGTTAGGCGATTCCAGAAAATATCCATACTATACCACGAACAGCTTTTAGGATTTCCGAAGGGGAGGAGGGGTTCACGATTATGGATTTCTGATGGCATGGGTGGGTATTTACGATAAGAAATCCAAAGGCATGGGGGAATTCTGAAGGGTTTAGGGAAGGAAATGTTCTCGGAAAATGTAAGAAATCCCTTAATTGTCCCCAAAACAAACAAGTCTCATTTTCCTTATAGCTATTAAATAGTAAAGTATTATACTCGACCTGATCTTTTATCATGATACATTTTATGTACACTACATGAGGCATATGGGTTGAGAAACTTTTCATGCACACTACATGACATATAAAAGGATGCAACACGACTCGACAGTATATTTGACGGCCGCAAGATTTTGAGCTATTTTCCTTTGTAAACGTCAAAACAGCACAAGAAAACAAAGAGGAGTAAAATTACCGTAAGTGGTGTTTATTTTTATAGCCAAATTCGGACTTAAAAAGGAGTTTGCACAGCCTGGCCACTAGCAGTAGGTTTTTCTTGTCGCTGAAGAGTAAAGCTTGTTCCCTGACGCCGCTAGATCACAGCCTTGAGGAGGCATAAATTCATGTTCGTTTGTTCCCAAAAAAACTGGAGGCTTTAGATCTAACGATATTTTGTTATCGTTAGAAAACTAATGGATAGCTAACGGCTTTTCCAGTTTCAGGTCATAGCCTTAATATTCTGATTATTGTATTGTTATGTTTATAGGTGCTGTATTAAATAATCCTCGCTCAGAGTACAGGATGGTGCGTCAATACAGAGGAAAAGTTAAGGCTGTTATCCTTGATTGGTCAGGGACTGTTATTGACTGTGGTGTATACTCACCAGCCATTGTTTTCTCGGAAGTCTTCAAAGAAGCTGGAGTCCCTATTACCATGGAAGAGGCTCGGGAACCAATGGGGACCCACAAGAAGGTGCATATCCGTAGAATCACACAGATGGAGTCTGTTAGAAGGAGATGGTTTGAAAAGTTTGGGCGGTTCCCCAGCGAGGAGGATGTAGAAAGGATGTTTCACAACTTTGTTCCAATGCAGCTCGGATGCCTCTTGGACTACTCTCAAATGATCTCTGGTGCAGTTGAAACTGTTAATGTTCTCCGTCATGAGATGGGCCTCAAGATTGGTTCCACAACTGGCTTCACTAGAGCCATGGTAGATATAATAAAGAAGCCTGCCGCAGAGCAAGGTTATGTTCCTGATGTGTATGTTGCTGCTGATGATGTGCCGCAAGCTCGTCCCTATCCTTATATGGTGTGGTTAAATGCCATTAAATTAGACGTGAATCCCATTGAAGCCCTTGTCAAGGTTGATGACACAGCTGAAGGTGTGAGGGAAGGCACATCAGCTGGCTGCTGGAGTGTAGGACTCGCTAAAACAGTAAGCTCATATCACCTGTACATGTTATTACCACTGCTGTGCTGAGATTTAATTGGCAAAATGAGGCAAGTCCTCACTTCTTAAATGTAACAAAAATGTCTTGTTTCAATGCAATCACTAAAATGCTTGAAAGAAAACAGAAAGTACAGAAAAAATTGATTTGTAGGAATTTTTCTTCATACCTTCTATGCTCAAATAAATTATTATTTGGAGTTAAATTTTATTAACAGTTGCTTGCACAGCAGCAGTATTTTATTTTTTACAAAATATTGAGAGGAATAATGTTATTTCAAGCTTGGATCTGGATGTAGCAGGCGTTAAATCAGCACAGTTGCTGAGTCACTGCTGCACTAAAAGCTGTGACCATTTTAATGACTAAAGCTACAGTAAAAATCGCTAATAGCCCATCCCATTTTACATTTACAGATGGAAACAAAAAAGCCTTGAAAAGGCAGTTGGCATTTTGTAACAATACATGTACAAGACTGCTCAAATTTTTGTCAAACATAACATACTGGTTGCCAAAGCTATTAGGCAACTTTAAACTGACTTCATAGTTTTTTCTTTTTTCAGAGTTAACTGAAAGAATGAATGGGTGATACTTGCTATCCTAATGTTGTCTTGCCTAATTTTTTTTTTAACAGGGAAATTATGTTGCCTTGAATGAGGAGGAAATTGAAGCTCTGTCGGAAGAAGATTATGAGAGAAAGATTTCACGAGCATATGATGCTCTTGCCAGTGCTGGAGCCCATTATGTGATTGACAGCATTAATGATCTCCCACCTGTTATCGATGATATCAATCGACGACTGGCCAGTGGAGAAAAGCCATGAAAAAGCAGTCAATGTTCTGCCACTTTTCATGTATAACACTGCTAGCTAGTAGCTTGTAGAAACTGCACTAAATGGGACCAAAAATTTTAATATATTTAATTTGTTTTTGTTTTAACTTTCTTGATGCTTTTGAGCTTTTGAATTACGACCATGATTGCTGGACAAAGACAAATGAATTCATTGTAATTAACTTTATCTAACTTATATCTTAATAATGTGTATGTACTGTGAGCTTTTATTGTTCTTACAAATTGTAGCATTTTCGTCATTAAACTGGAACAGCCTGTTTCTAAAATAGGCTTTTTTAAAATGTAATAAAAACCCAGATTCTACATTTCTCCCATTTAATGCTCAAGTAAAGGGCATTATCACATTTGCATCTTAAAGAATATGGCAAAGGTTGTAATAGTCGTGATTTGATGTTCACAAATATTATCATCTTTTTGTTAAATTATTTGGAAGATTTATTTAACTTTTAATTTATTCTTAATGACCCATATTTTTATATCTTTCACATATTGCCCACTCTTAAACGAAGAGTGGATAAAAGATTGACACTTAAAACGTTTCTAAAAGTGACCTAAGGACGTTGGAGAATTGAGAAAATTGCATGGATTTGGATTTTGTTTGTAAGAATGAAAAAATATAAAATGATCCAATCATATTTTTGTAAGGATTAAAGTAACGATGCTCCCTCTTTAAATCTGTAGTACCTTAAAATACTCTAATAAGTGCCCAGTTATCCTTTTTTCCTTTTTGTATGCTTTCTTTGAGCATAACACTTCTCATATTTATCTGTGTTCGCCATATTTTTCTCCAATTCCATATTTTAATCTTCAGGTTTTTGTTTCAAGTTGACCTCAACACAATTGTATCGAATTCCATCAAAACACTCTGTCGAAAACAACCAAACATATACTTGAAAACTCCAATACGTTTTCATTCCCTTGCAACAATAAACATTTGGCTACTGTTTGACGAAAACTAGGCGTGTCCCCCCCCTACTGCCCACTTCTTAACGTTGGGATACTTACTTGAATATTTAAGGTACACTTCTGTGGGCTGCTGAAATGATATAAGAATTTGAACTATTTTAAAAAACTATAATTTCTGGCAATAACTTTTAACTTATATCACTTATTTGTATAATATTGTATTTATGTATTATATGAAATAAAGTTTTGCATCAGAAGTTGTGGGGAATCTTGTATTAGCCAAGCACCAGTCCTCTTGGCGTAAAGCAAAAAATCCCAGGGAGCGAGGATGCGCTTAAGGTGTTACCAACAAGTTTCAGGTCAACCTCGACATTTTTTGAAAACCGAGAAACCCCTGGGAATGAGGCTGTTTTCAGATGACAGTTACCGCATTTTTTTAAAAAGAGTGCTTCACTTTGAAGCAGAAGTCTAGTGGAATCTTGATACACTGAGACTCCATGTAACGAAGTCCTCGATACAACAAACTATTTTTGAAACCCCAGCTATAGTAAAATATATGGAAAAGAACCTCGATATAACGAAACCTCGTTATAGCGAACATATTTTGCCAGTCCTTGGCCCTTGGTTATATCGAGGTTCTACTCTACGGCACAAGCCGGAAACATCAAGAAAAAAATGCCAATCTGAGGTGCTAATACAGCTGATATTGTCATGTTAAATAAAAATGGAAAAGGGACAGAGCTTTTTAAAATAACCTTTACAGTCGAACATCCGATCCACTAATTGGCACCTCTCTACAACGGCCCTTTTTTGGTCAACATTCCCTATATTGACTCTTTTTCAAACCTCTCTACAACGGCCAGTTTCTTCTGTCTCAAGGTGGCCGTTGTGAAGAGGTTCAACTGTATTTCTTTCTTCCTATGTTACTGTTATCGGTTTTGAAACAAGAAAGGATCAAGGAAGAAAGATCAGCAAGTACTTTGCTTTTTCGCAATTTTTGAAATAACAAATGAAGAAATTTAATATTTACCTCTCTTTTTCTTTCGAGTGTAAATTACTGTTGCTAATTTTTGATGAACTTTGCTAAGTTTGCAATTTTTTATGTGCATCTTCGCTACCACTGATCACGTGATCGCTCCGGTGCAATGTAAAATCAAAACTACGCGTGACTTGACTAATTTTTGGCATATTAGCAATAACAAAGTTGCAAATGTGTGGGCTACATTTTTCTACAATGCAGCAAACGCCATGCCAGGAATACTGACTACGACTAGACCCCAATACACGGGGGAACGTAGTAGACGTGAGGGCGCCAGAAAATTATGTCACCTTTCTCGCGCGCTGGTGGGAATGTCTAAATCCATTCGATTCATCACGCAACAGTGGACTCTGAACCATATAATCACGTGCCTGAGTAAAAGCACTTGGTGGCCTCATACCATTATGCAAGCGTTGCTACTTCCCTGACGATAACTCCCTGATAAGATAATACTGACATATCCGGACATATCCAATTTCTTATAAAGGCTCGATTACCAGCCGCTGTTCAGGAAAATGAGCCCGCACTCCCCAGGAGGGTCCCTTTTGAGATCTTCAGGTATATGAGAGGGAGGGTGGGGGATTTCACTTGCTGAAGTATATACCTAATTCAATAAAGGTTGCTTTGGCAATTTGTCATTGGCAATTGGGCATTGGCAGGTGGGCTCCCGGCATTGGGCACTTCGGCCTACAGAACAATGCAATAATTTGCTTGAGTGACTACAAAACAATAGATACCCAGTGACCAATTACCAGTGCCCAAAGCAACCTTTATTGAATCAGCTGTCTAAAAGGGTAGAGCCATCTGTCATTTCGGTCTGTAAAAGGGCCTGAAAGGGTTAACAGATGCATTTTATGGCTGTGAAAAAGTCGAGAAAACGTTCTGGTTTTGTGATTTATTCATATCTTCAAGACACTGCATTTACAGCAGTTGAAAGGGGAATGCAAAGTTCTAAATAGTAGTTAGAGGCGAACGAAAGGGGTACCCTTGTCAATGGAACGGTATACGCGGGTACCTTCACCGGGAACATCGACATGCTGTTATCTGAAGGATTTGTTTTACCTTCAAAAGGAAAAGGTTTGTTACAACACACAGTGTCCGCATTAGCGAGTTTGACTTTCTTTGAGAATCTGTCTATTGCGGCAAGGAACAAGTGTCCGTTGTCCGCGTTAACGGGTGTCCATATTAAGCGCTTTGAATTTAGAGAAAAATGTATGGGCTTTCCCTAGCGACAAAGAAAATTGTCTCTTTAGGTCTCCATATAAAGCGGGTGTCCGTAAAGCGGGGTTCCACTGTATATAATAGGGTAAGGGGTTGGACCTTGGGGCAGAGCATCCGCTTACAAAACTCTGTTGAGTCCCCCGCCGGCCGCACTCAACGAGGACTAAAGAATTCGGGACACTGGCGGAAATCGAGCCTACTTTCGATGATAGTCTCGATAAGCCATAAGATTTGAAAGTATCTCCGGCTGTGAAGTAGCCTGCATAACAAGCGCTTTATGAGCCAAGCGAGGCGAACGCCGCATTTTACGAACGTTTCGCGCTTCGCTCAAAATGCCGCGTTCGCCTCGCTTGGCTCATAAAGCGTCCGCTATGCAGGCTAGCTGTGAAGTCTTGACTTCGACTCTAAGGTGACTCTTCTTTACGCATGCAGCTTGTCCTCAGGAAAAATAAAGGGCATTTTCTGATTTGATTCTTGACCCCACTTTGCCTCAATTCCTTTTCCACATTGCTATATCATTCTTTCAAGGGCACCCAACGAGAATATAGTTCAAAACCACTTTAACATAGCATTGTTAAACGTATTTTAGTATTTAAACGGTAGATATAGGCATGTTTTTATCCCCTAGAAATTTTTCATCTGTTCGGATTTCCTAGCTGAAAGTCTAGTGATCCCAAAATTATAGGGATTAAAACTTAACTTTTCGAAAATTTTAGCGAAAAAAAAGGCTCCCGAAAATTCTAGGTGACATTCTCAGGGTAAAAATCCGTTAAAAATGCGCAATTATACCATTTTTTAGATGTTCGAAAATCCTAGGAGAGACAGGAAAGCAAGAAATTTTACAACAAATGTTCCGAAAATTCTAGATCTCAAATCGTCTTCCGAACAGATATTTTCCGAAAATTAACGTTGGGTGCCCCTGTTCTTTGTCCGTCACCATTTCCGACCCTTTTCCTATAGCGAGTCGGCTTCTCTTGTGGAAGAAAAACATGAACTAATCTCGACGCTCACCCTTTCAGTTATTCCTTCAAAATATAAGATCTTGAATAAGAATGGGAAGAGGTAATCTTTGTATTCCTTTCATTTTTCACTGGGTCATTTTAAAAATGACCTCACTGAAATCCGACCCATATTATTCTCACTTGACCACTTACTCAAATTACTTCGCTGGTCTTGGAACTAGGACGAACTGACTCAAGACAGATCAAAGTGGCGTAGCCTCATTCGCGTGGGTGATAAGCCAGCAGATGAAAAGCGTACGAAGGGAGCCAAGGAAAAATGAATCGAAACTAAACGTCTAATGCGCAAATCCCGCGCGGTCATGCACCACCCCACTGACTTCTGCTGGCATCATGTGCTTCGCAAATGTGGCAGACACTTTCGTGCTCGGATTGGTATCCTCAGGTACCTTAGCATTCTCGGGATTTGGGGAGTCAGAAAATTCAGGTTGGTAAAGATTTACAAATTGGAAGATTTTTTACTGCGTCTTAGTTCATCAAGTGTCTCAATTCATTTTGGAACCAAAACCAAAACATGCGATTTTTCCATACCTGTTTTCAGATCTGGCCTCTAAAATACTACTCTGTGTACCAGAGATTTTTTTCTCGCGTGTGACGAGGAGCTTCGTCTGCCGCAGGCCTACACGTCTTCGGCAGAAGGCCGAAGACACGAGCGGCGAATCCGCGAGTCACTTTTTAAGACTTGACCGAAACCGGAAACGCGCCTGAAAAGTCTCTGCCTGACACCCAGGGTACTAACTGAAATACATACTCGATTTGCGAACCCATTACCTTGTCCAAGTGAACTCAGAATACTGTTTAAGCTTTTTTTTTTCATAATTTAGTAGCGTTTTACAATGATTGTCTTACCTATTTGAAGCTAACGAGACAAATACGTTGATACTCAGGGGCACACAACGCTAATTTTCGGAAAATATCTGTTCGGAAGACGATTTGAGATCTAGAATTTTAAGAACATTTTTTTGTAAAATTTCTTGCTTGCCTGCCTCTCCTAGGATTTTCGGACATCTATAAACTGGTATAATTGCCCATTTTTAATAGATTTTTACCCTAAAAAGGTCACCTAGAATTTTCGGGAGCATTTTTTCTGGCTGAAATTTTCGAAAAGGTAAGTTTTGATCCCTATAATTTTCGGATCACTAGACTTTCAGCTAGGAAATCCGAACAGATGAAACATTTTTAGGGGATAAAAATATGCCTATATCTACCGTTTAAATACTAAAATACTTTTAAAAATGCTATGTTTAAGCAGGATGGACTCCTGGTTTAGGGAGGGACCATTGGAAAAGTGATTGGATGGGGGAGGTGGGGAATTTTCAGCTTGCACGAATTTTTTTTTTCGCTCACTGCTTGTGCAGGAATTTTTTTTTCAGGTCAACCCCTCTGCACGAATTTTTTTTTTGTTTCAGACAAATATTGCTTTTTTTGAACAGTGAAATCTTGATTCATTATCTATGTTTTTGTGCTTTATAGATTATTCTACACTCACAACAGATCAAAGGATACAGGCCACTTTAATGCACAATCTTTTCGAAAATGTACACACAGTGAGAGAGGAGGAAGCCACTTGGAGTGGACGGCTTCCCTGTGCATTTTTTCAGTCCCTGCCCTCTGAAATTCCTCTCCCACAGCCCATCATAATGATGCCATACTCCATTCACCAATGAAAACCATACTTTGTGGTTCTTAATTTTTGTTAAAAGTACCGGTGGCAGTGTTGCTGTTTNCAAGAGGACACTTGCGCATGGTGTTTTGAAAATGGTTTAAGTTTTTCATAAAAGTCCAAAATTTCTTAAAAAGTTCCCATTTAGCCTTCCTTTTGCTTTGATTTTTTTTTTTTACCTTCTTTTTTGCATGAATTTTTTTTTTTTGCCTTTTCCCTTTCCTTAATTTTTTTTTTTGTTTTTTCCCCCCCCCCCCCCCCCCCATCACTTTTCTAATGGTCCGTCCCTTAAGTGGTTTTGAACTATATTCTCGTTGGGTACCCCTAGCCTGATAAGCTCTCTTGGGTCGAATTCCCTTGAAAACCATACCCTATATATTTCAGTCCATAATGAGCAAAATCTACAACCTCGTCCCCAGGGCTTTTGCAAAATCTATACCCGTTTTCAGATCAAAGCGGTTCAAAAACCCTACCCTTTGGGGCGGCACATACCCATACCTATATAGCTTATATAGGGAGTACCTCCTGGGTCTATATTTGGCCACAGAACTAGACTTTAATGGGGTAGGGGTTCTTAGAGGCCAGCGGCACATACGGTGGAAACTCGATATAACGAGGGGACAAGGGACTGGCACACAAATTAGTTCGCTAAAAGAGGTTTCGTTATTTCGAGGTTTTTTTTTTCATATATTTTACTATTACTGGGTCCGACGACTTCGTTATATAGAGTTTCGTTAAATCGAGGTTCCACTGTACCCATCCATCATCTTTGCTGTGGAACTTGAATGACCTTGGCAGCGTTAAGATCAAGGTGGACAGACACACGGCCGGATAGCCAGCGAATATCAAACACTCGTATTACAATATCTTTATTTTACTTTGACACACAATTTTCAAATGTCACGAAAGAATCGCGAAACAAAAAAGACTACGTCAACCAGCCTGATACTGTGACATAACAGGTTTTCAGTTTACAGTGAGTGGCGAGCATTAGCTTCTTAAAAAGTTCTACATCAGTAATCACCTCTATTGAAAGAGCCAGTGCCCTGATGGCTTTCAATCATGTAAACAGACAATGGTATTAAGAATATTCCTGATGAAGAAGGAAAAACTCGACCCGGCACAACTTGACCCAGATAACCAGCGGTGGCCGCCGGAAGTAAGAGGGGTTTGTCATTTATAAAGTGTAAAGACGGCTTGATGAAAGGCGCCTTATTAACACCTACATTTTTAATGGGATTACCCTTACATTCAGGCTTTTTAAAGGAAAGAAAGGCAATAAATTTTTTTTCTCTCTTTGAATTAGTTAGCTCATTCTCTCTTGGTTTGAATATAATAAAGTATCGGTTAATGTCGGCTGTGAGATTTAAAAGCATCAACAGAGATTCTAGGCTAGAGATGGTGCTTGATATAGTTCTGACAAATCTACTAAAATCGTTCAAGCACTCTTTAATTTTAACTAATACCAAAAACCTGACTGAACCAGCCTTTTTTCCTATGAAAGGCGAAATTTGTAAATGCGCGTCAGTTTTACTTTGTAATGCAAAAATGCGATCATTCTATGACTTAAACTCAAAAATGCGATCATACTACAACTTAAACTCAAATCTCAGAATCTGCAGTTATTTCGATCTCCTAAAGATTATAATAAACCTGCTTCCTGAATCTAATTTGTCATTTCCACTTACAATTGGTCACCACCTTAGAAAGAAGGGCCACTTGACAAATAATATTTTCTCTGCTGCTATTGAATATTTAATGTCATTATATTTATTCCATTTAAATTACTCATCTTTAGACCCCTTAAATTAGAATGGAAATATGAGGTGATTGCTAAGGGCCGATGTCATTGGATCTCACAGTTTGTGTTTCACGTGAAAGGCACCAAGTAATTTTGCGTGTTGCTGAAGACAAAGCATTCATTTAAACCAGTTTGAATGTAACATGTGACTTGCCGGCTCGTTTCATCAACTGTGCAGTTCCGTCCATGGGCGCTTTGTGAAAGGATCATAGCTTCTTCGCACCAGGTAGGCTGAAAAATATTTTTCGTTAGGGTTTGATCATAATTAATGGCAAACTAATTCCTCTCTGATATAACATACGGCCAACAAATTACATCAAATTTTATACCCGCCACACCAAATCTCTTTTTCAGTGCATATTTCATGGTGATCTCCTGATAGCCATAACCAAACCTATTCAGACGTTTCTCTCGATAAAGAAAAAAACGCTTCTGAAGTATTTTTCCCAATATTCGAAGGGAACTGAAATTATAACCAAACCTCCTCATACGTTTTATTCTTTATTAAATTACATAGTGTAAGAGCAAAATCTCGGCCCTTCGTTGATCAGTGCGGTGTGTCAAGCTCTCCTATTATGTAACCGCTGGTGCTTAAACTCACCAATCTTGACGAAACTGCCTGTTCTTGACAGCCGAGGCGGGTGTATTTCTTATTCGAGACGGTCCCTCCAGTTTCAAACCGTCGTTTGAAACACTGTCTTTCGCCGCTTCCCGGCGAGGACTTCAATATTAGATTGAGAAAATGGGGCGCAATGTCCAATCACAAATATTGATCGAGCACCGCTGCCGTCTGGCTCAATGTGGCGTTGAATAACTCAAGCATGGTCAGAAAAACATCAAGGAAACCGATCATTTGGTCTTTGTCTTTCAAAGCGCTGGCAAGTGTTACCAGTGGAAAAATAATAATTTCATCTTAAAATCACAATTCTATCAATTCCGAAAGGAGGCACAATATTTTGTTTTCACTTTATGTGAAGTATATTTGTTTTACACGTTCCCCTCGGCTGATCTAAGGTCATGTCAGATTTTCGTCATAATCTATAGTACCAACTGAGAAATTCTCTCGGTAGTGGGTTTCGAGCACAAAGTTTTGCTTCGCCATATAAATGGTAACAAAAAGCCACACACGTGCTTAAAATTTGTCGCATGCAAATTTCTATATATTTGATTGTTTACTGTTCGCGACAGGTGTACCAAATTTAGCCACAACGAGATTTTTTAGGAACATTTTCAACTTAACGATCGAGAGCTGGATTTTAAAATTCAGAGCAAAACCTTTAGAATATGGGTTATATCAAACCAAGAGCCCATCAGGGTTCCTGATCAAACTGATTTGCATTGATTGAAAGGACGGGTCGTGTTGTATATCGATTTATACGCGTTTGCGTGCGCGGAAGGGTTTTGGGTGCGTGGGTTAGCCACCCACTTAAAGGAGAATGGGTCGAGCGGGGGAAATACGTTTGTTCATTGAAGATTCTAGTCTGCTACACAGCCGTTTTTAGGGTCGCCACGCAATGCTGAAAACGGCTGTGTAACAGACTATGAAGATTCCCACACAAATAACAGTAGCCTACAGAGCGAGGGCAGGCATTTTTTAAGGGAAACTAAAAGTTACATTGATCGCCCATCAACCTCTCCCTTAAAACCCGTTTTTGACTCGCCCTAACTCTCTGGTAGTATTAAGGTCCAAGATGGCTGGATAGCATTATTTCCGAAAAAATTAAGGATAGCGCTGCAAAATATGCTTGCTTTTCAGGCTAAAATAACAGAGAAATACATGTAATGCAGTACGAAGTCAAAAATGCTTTTTTTACCTTTTTTCAAACCACTCTTACCAATTGTACGCCTGAGAAGCGGGCGTAAGGAAAAAATGGCGAGAAGTTCTTCGTTCTTCTAAAGCCCCGTGCAAACGGACACAACATTGTTGGCTGTTACATGTTGCGTACGTTTGCACACCCTGTTGCATGTTGTTGCGTGTTGTTGGGAGTTGTTGCGCGCAGTTTGAAACAGGTCGTGATCGCCGAAGCGTAGCGCAACAATGTTCGATCCGCACAACTCTTCCAGCATTTGTTTCGGCGACGCACGTGCATTACACATAGTCTCATTCCACACACATATACTATTTGACGGTCGGTTATGACGTGCATCATTGACTTTGTGTGACAATGTACCTAAATATGAGTGAGGAGACAACATTGAGAGTATGACATTACAGTTGCAGTTTCGTTTATTTCGTTCAAAATTAAGTTTCAGAACGTTGAATGATCTTGATTTCAATGAAGCTATTGAAATTAATGATTTCATCGCATAAGTGTTCTATTGTCGTCGTAAAAGTTTTGAATACATTAGTTCGTGTCAGTGCGTGAAATCGCGAAAATTAAGTGACTTATGTTCCAAAATTTACGAAAAATCGCTAAACTAAAGTGCCTCTAAATAGGGATTTTTTAAAATCACTAAATTACCACGGCGCCAAAATTTCATGTAATATTAAGGTAGATTGTATCCTTCCCACGATGCAGTACGGATCCCAACATTGTTGGGAGTTGTTGCATCCGTTTGCACATCACTGCCAATACGGACGCAACATCTTCCAACACTGTTGGCCCAGCATTGTTAGCCCAAGAATGCTAACTTGAATCACCGCTGGAAGACAGTAAAATTTAATAGAGTTCATTATCCCTTGCCATGTGGTTCCAAACCTAGACCCAGGGTTTTCCAGATAGGTTCATACCAATGATCCCCTACTCAATTTTTTTGTCTCTTTTAAATCTTCTTAACAATGAAATCCCAATTCGACGAGTTCTTTGTATATGCCGTGGTTCGACACATGGCGAGAGAGATAAACACTAAGTAAATCTGACCATGACCTTGTTCTTTCAATCAAGTCGCGTGAGAGTTACACGCGCGCGCGCAATCAACCACTTTGCATAATTATGGCGTAACAGAGGACGGTAGGCAATTACACTCGGAGGTTCTCGCCACAACCAATTGTTTATCTCCATGAACCTTACACAGGTAAGCTGGGCAGTGACTATTGGACAAATACGTTTCATGATCGATCGCTCAAAGCCGCGTCTGTAGTCTCTTTGAGAAATCAGAAATAACACGCGAGAAAAAATTCTTGAAACTAAAACTACAGTCGACTCCCGATAACTCGAACCTTGAAGGGAAATCGAAAAAAGTTCTAGTTATCGGGAGTTTGAAGCAAATAATCGGAAGTAAGGAAATAAGCAAATGCATGGGAAGGAAAGGCAATTAAGTAACTAAGTATACCGGAATGGATACTGAATTTGAACTGAAGTGACAAAAAAAGTAAAGACAAAGAATTTTATACTCGGTTGTTTTGAAATAAATTCGATGTTTCGGACTTCAGTACCGGCTTATTTTCCGACTTGTCACACGCTTATAACATGATTCGAGTTATCGACGGTAAAATTTTATAGAAATGATCGGAGGGGAAACAAAAATTACTTCGAGTTAGCGGAAGGTTCTAGTTGTCGAGGGTTCGAGTTACCGAGGATAAAATTATAGTAAATGTAAGAAGGAAATCTAGAGGAAATCGACATTGGTTCGAGTTAGCGAGGGTTCGAGTTATCGGGAATCAACTATACTGAACTATAGTCTTACTCGGCTAATTGCATGCAAAACACGGCATATTTGAAGCTACAACCTGTAGTTTTGCCAAAACTTATATCCGACTCCAAAAATCCTTCAACGCTGTGGCAAATGAGAGCATCAGCTCTTGTCAACCAAATGAATCACAGGTTTGCCCCTCTCGGTCGTCATTCATGTTGTTATCGATCCTTTCAAAATTCCACCAGCAACACAAACATATTCGTGCATAAATGTGTTTACTTCAGGAGCCTATAGACACAGGTCCGGGGGGAGACTCCCTAGAAAAGTGTCGGGGATGCTCGTCGTCTCGCTCAGGGGTAAAAATTGCAGATATTGGTCTCACCTAGGCCTGGGGCAAACGTCGAATCTTTTAGTCGAACTTAATTCGTCGAACCTATTAATTTTGAAATAGGCGCGTGAATGGTGCGACGTTTGCGGCAATTAAGTTCGACTCAAATTAATTGGTTCGACTCCAGCATAAGTGCGACTTGCCAAGTCGGATAATGCGATAGTGCCAGTTCGGCGTTTCAGCAAACGTCGGTCTAAACACAAGCTGAATTCAATTCATAAATCTCGCAAATTACAAAATAATTGATTCAAATGTGATGGACTGCGCACACGTCACAAAAATACCGACTCCACCGTCTGCCAGACGCTATTCCCCCCCTGACAAGCATGCGCTGTACAAAGACAATTTCGCTTCCGGGAATTGCGAGCAAGTCGATACCAGGCTCTTCAGTGACGGTGTCTTTTTCAATGGCGTTACGAATGCGATCCAGCAGAAACTTAAATGTAGATCTAGATATCCTGAACTCTTTAAACCGTTTCTCGCTGTCAGTGGTCCATAGATTCGCATTGCGTTGGAAGCGGTGGCAAGACGGACTCAAGACCGCTGCTCCATTGTTATTCGCTAACAAAAGCACCGTCAAGTATGCCACTTAGAGCAATAGCTGTCTTCTCTGATACCCTGTACTCAGAGCTGTATGTAATGCGAGTCTTCTCTTTCTATTTTTCGCAATTAATTGCCAAAAAAAGGCCCGACGAGCGCTGTATTTCGCCATTTCTCCGGCCAATCCTAGAGGTAACTAGCCGCGCATCAAGTGAATAGCACGGGAACACGTTCTTATTCCCGTGTTTTAATGAAGTGCAACTTGTGAAATAGGATCGACGCAGCTTCGACGTTTGTTACCGCGATGGAATTAAGTCGACTCTTTGTCTAACCTGTTTTTAATTTGTTCGAGGCGACTTAGATTCGACGTTTGCCTCAGGCCTTAGGGTGTTAAGGAAGGAACTTTCTTCCCATAAAGGTGTCAATTAGGGTTGTGCGCAAAGAAAAATCTTTATAAAAAGATACAAGCACCGTCATAGTGTGCTGCGGTATGGTCTCCTCCAGGGGATAAAATAAAACCTGAACCACGCCCAGATTGGAGTGGCTTCATTCTGATTTTCCGATGGGCATTCCCGTCTCTCTAATTTGAAGGTCTCCCCCTTTCTTCAGGACACAGGGAGTACGGGCCTACCCGGTCCCCCTATTTATCATACAGCCATGAAATGCTGCCTCCTCCAATGGCATTCCGAAGACTAAGCGGAGAAGCGCGGATCAAGGGAAGGGCGGGATATAAGCTTAATCACAAGTGACTGGGATCGACGCAGAAAAAGTGCACTATTGTCGGGTTCCTCTTATGTGATATTGAATACGTGCACGTGCAGTCACATGATTTTTTTCCTTCACAAACACCATATCATTAAAGGTCATTAATCACATTAGGTTTGAGCCATATATATCCTGCTAAATGCCATTGTTTAATTACATCCGGTAGGGTCAAAAGCACGGTTCTTTTTCTGCGCTAGTGTGGCCATTGACAGGCGCACAGACAATAGAAAGAACCGAACGAACATTGACAGCAAGAACTGTGCGTGGGGATCGCTTTGAAAAGACCATTTTGTAGCTGAGACAGGTAAAATTAATGTGACTAAGCCAATTTGAAATTCATACTTTGCTTCCAGGTTTTGGGGAATAAAACAACAGAAATGTATTATCCATCTCTACATTTCAACTCAGTTGACGTCTCTTATTTTATTCCCCCACGACTCGAAGCAAAGTACTGTATTCATAATAATATATTTAAACTGGTCTACAGTCAATTAAGACGGTCGACACCTTTGGCACCAGCATTATGCGTCCATCTTAGCGAGGTGCCGTTGCGAGAGAGTTAACTGTATAGACCTTGTCACGGTTTTTGACGAGTAGGCAAACGCGTGAGAAATTACAGCGTTTGTATATGAGAATCTAATGTCGAATAATTTCCGTAAAACGGCTGTTTTGAAAAAATATGAATTGTAAACTAAAGCTTCACTCTTAAGGATTCTACTGAAAAAATTTGAGGGCGTTACATGCGCTAGAAGACCTAGAACCTTCTTTTAAAATTTTCTATATATTTGTCTGTAAAAATTTCCCGGGAAAAATTGCAGACAAATATATGGAAAATCTAAAGCAAGCTTCTGGAGAAATTGAAGCACAGTAACGGCCCCCAAAATTTGTCAGTAAAATCCTTTGCTGTGTAGCTTTAGTTTACAATTCATATTTTTTTCCAGAACAGCCGTTTTACAGAAATTATTCGACATTGGATTTTCATACAAACACTGTAATTACTCACGCGTTTGCCCAGTCGTCAAGATGGCGTCGAAAACCATGACAAGGTCTATTCCTTCAATGCTTGTTTCAATACCTAGGCAAAATAGAACGAAACACGGATGTATCTACGGACAAAAACAAACCTTCTCGAACATTTTTATAAACAGATTATGTTTCTGTAGGAAACTACTGTAAAGTGATATCATTTTACAAAAGGAACAGACTGCGGGAATGTTTCTACAGGAGTCCCCCGACATTTCATGCGGGTAAAAAACAAAGAACGAAATGAATTACCAAAGAATAATGCATCGAATAATGCTTGAGTCATACACGTTGCCATCTCGTCGGAGCAGTTCTGGGATATTCACACAACATCACTCAACAAAAATACCGGAAAACACTCAAGGTTTTTGAGCCCACAAGAATGAAAATCTCAACCACAGTTATGTTTTCACTGAAAGCGCTGGTCACTGCTGTTCAGGTAGATAGGATGCATGAATCAGCCATTTGATGAGTGTGATCACGGCTGCCCTGGCGTTTTTATGACACGGGTATCGGGTACATGTAAGTTGCTCGTGGCGGGTTTGCATCCTGATCAGTCTCGCAGTACTTTTACTTAACCTGACACTGCGGGACGTACACGCAGACTGCAAGCAGTCTCTTATTTTTCTTTGCAAAGCCACTCCACGCGTAAACCATGCACGCGAACGGCGATTCCCTTAATTTGTTGTTTGTAATCGCGTTGGCTGGGTAGGAACTGGACGAATTTTAAGAGAAAAGGAAAGCTCCAGCAGTGTTCCACCGACGTTACAAATATCTGGCAGTGATCACTCCTCGGCCAGTCAGTTGTTCAAAGCTGGGTTAAGTTAACCCAGGGTTAATGCGAGATTTGAATTCAGATTTGAAAGTTTAAAAAGCATTTCAGTTTGAATTGTTTTTGTCTACAATTTGATGATTGGAAGCTCTGAAAGTACCAGAGAAAATTATCCGAGAAAATGCTTTTGAACGCAAGAAATAGAAACCAAGGTTAAATTTAACGCCGGGTTAAGCGCTAATCGGCCTTCGAACAACTGGGCCTGGTGTACTATTTATGGCAATGACCTGGGTCGGTGTCGTGTTGAATTACACTATTGGCCTGTTTTGAGGATATAAATTTTAACCCATGCAGTTTCCTGCCCAACCCGGTAACAGCCAGTAGGAGCTGTAGGGCCCCTAGACAGGGTCCCCTAACAGTCCCTTGTTGCAATTCGGCACAATAGCGACCCAGTCCCACACTCAACTTCAAAATAACCAATCCCTGATCTTCCGTGAGTATTCTAGGGGAGCCATTTACACAAACCGCCTGGGTGGAGATCTTGTGCATAAACACAACTATAGAATTTGACGTAGAAGGAGAACGACCTGCTACAAAATCTATCCAAATATGCTGAACATACTAAAAAGAGTAGAAAAATTGCGTCACATCAAAGGCGTTTGGAGGGGAATTGAAGGGAAAGGGAGTTTTAGGTGAGAAAGAAAAGCGAGGGCCGGGGCTCCCTCCCTCCTCGCGTGCCCCTCGCGTTTCTCTCGCGCCTAAAACTTCCTTTCCCTTCCCTTTCAAACGCCTACCACTCAGGCTATATTTTCTGCAGCTTCCCAAAAGGATGAATGGCGCGAAGCGTTTGATTTTCTAACCTGATTTCCTGAGTAAACCATAAGTACCTCTAATCTTATGTAGAGATAACCTCTTGTTCCATCGTCGGGGTGCCTTGACTGTACTTGCAAACAGACTTTTAATAAGAATGTGAACGTTTCTTTTACTTACAGGTGTTTTTGGCTGAAGAATATGAGGACACCTTCAGAGGCCAACTCAGGTGGGAGCCAGGCTCATCACTCAGCTTCCAGTGGTGTGGGTCCCAATCACACCATGGAGTCTGAAACACAGAATGGTCACATGGGTGTGCTCGATTCAGAGAAATCACGTGTCACCAGAAGAAAACCAGACGAAAACCAGACAAAAATTGCCTCTTCTCCTAAGATCGTCAGAAGTCAAAACGACATAATTAATTTGTCACCAGGCCTACCTGGTGTCAGCGTTGCTATTTTAGGATCCGTCATGTTGCTTTGGCCACCGGTGTGCGTTGCGTTTTTTTGGCTGTCCTGTCACTCTTATCAGTGCTCGTTAGGAAGTCTGGGAAAGGTGGTCCTCGGCAAGTTATCCGACGGAACTATTATCACTTTCTGCAGGCAAGTCTTCCCAGCGGTAAGCAGCGAAGCAATCATTTTGTACATGGCTTGGATGATTCTGCAGGTGATTTTATTCATTGCCCTGCCCGGCCGCATCAGAAGAGGCACTGCCACGCCAGCCGGGAATGTGCTTAGTTACAAGTGTAATGGTATCAGTGCTTGGGTGGTGTCACACCTTTTGTTTCTCATCTTGGTGAAGAAGGGCTTCATTAATGCCACCATCATCAGCGACAACTGGGGAGCCCTGATGGTCATCAGCAACGTGTTCGGATTCGGCCTGGCCATGTTCGCTTATGTGAAGGCGTACTCTTTTCCGAGTCATCCCGAGGACCGTTGCTTCAGTGGATCGGCCTTTTACGATTTCTTCATGGGCATTGAGCATAACCCGAGAATCGGTTCTTTTGATTTCAAACTGTTTTTCAACGGACGGCCAGGAATAGTCGCTTGGACTCTGATTAACCTGTCCTTCGCCGCTAAGCAATACAATGACTTCGGCTATGTCACCAATTCCATGATCCTGCTCAACATTCTGCACGGAACCTACGTCGTAGACTTCTTCCTCAACGAATCTTGGTACCTGCGCACAATAGACATCGCTCACGATCACTTTGGTTTTTACTTAGCCTGGGGCGACACTGTCTGGCTCCCATTCATGTACACCCTCCAAAGTGTCTACTTGGCCCGGCAACCTGTAAGCCTGCCATGGTGGGGCTGCGTTGGCACGTTTCTTCTGGGTCTGACCGGATATTTGATTTTCCGTTCAGTCAATCACCAGAAAGATTACTTCCGGGTTGAGATGAAGGCGAATGACAAGTGTACAATCTGGGGGAAGCCAGCGCAGTACATCAGGGCATCCTATCAAACCACGGACGCCGAGCAAAAGATGTCTTACCTACTCGCTTCTGGCTGGTGGGGACTGTCACGCCATTTCAATTACGTCGGTGACCTGATGAACGCGCTGTCGTACTGCTTGGCGTGTGGCACTGGTCACATTTTACCGTATTTCTACTTCCTCTTCATGTTCATCCTTTTGATCCACCGTTCGTTCCGCGACGATGTCAGGTGTAAGCAGAAGTATGGAGCGTACTGGGACAAGTATTGCCAGCTCGTACCATATAGAATCATTCCTTTTGTGTTTTAAAGAACACTGTTGGTTAATGTATAAACGTTAATCTTTTTTGCGCATTTGATCAGCGACAAACATATTTGGCAGTCTTAAAATGAAATTTTCAGCAGGAAAGTAGCAAAAATAGGCCCATTGCAGCTAGTCATTCACAGTGGCGGATCCAGGGGAGGGGCCCCCTTATTTTTAGACCAAACTGAGACCCGAAGGGCCGAAAAAATTTGTTTTGAGTACCGTCCTTCCCCCCCACTTATCTTCTTATCTGAAGCTCTGGATCCGCCCCTGATTCACGTGGTAAGAGCCCGTCATGCTGGAGGGCAAGAGAAGCACTGGGAGAAGACAAACAAAGGGACTGATTACCATTGTAAATCATGATGTGAGCTCTTTGTTTTTCTTGTCCCGGTGCGTCTGTTGTTCTCCAGCATGGCGGTTTTGTACAACGTGAATGACTAACTGCAAAGGGCCTATCAGTGAAGAACGTATTGCTGGAGTCGAAGGTACTATTTAACAGCACTTTTTTATCTGCATGCATGCTCGTGCTTCGACTTACCAATACAGTGTTCAAATAATTATAATCATCTTTGACTACGCAACGAAACCGAGGGTCAAGTTTAAAACTGCAATACTGTAGAGTGAAATGAACGATTTGCACAACGTCGTTATCAAGAAAAAGGTCAAGCAGAAACGTTTGCTAGCCTTTGATTCATTTATCATTCAACTCCTAGGCGGGGCATCTTTTTGGAAAGATGTTTGCTTGGTGCTGTTTACTTCTTTGGATTTTACCAAAACAAACTCTGAAATTTTTTGAATTTGCAGTAGTGCGCAATTACTACACTGTAAATCAGAAAGACCTGTTTTAGCCTTAAAAATGGGGCCTTTTCGGTGAGTATAATACAGTCCTATAAAAATCAGGCCCAATACAGTCCAATTACCTACAGTCTCTAGGGCTAATTTGGACGCAAGGGCTGAAATGATTCCCTGCTAGCGTGTGCTGGATTGGCTTTTGATGAGGCCATTTTGGCTTAAATTATGTTCAAATGGCTCCAGGAGAGGCTCAATCACACTTTGGCCAGTAGGGATGAATTGGCACTTTCTGGCTGAAACAGATATTTTTAATTTTCAGCGTAGGAGTATAAAAGGGATAATAACAAATTCTGTCATTTCAGGGTATAGTAAAGAATACGGCTTAATGATGGAACAACTGATTTCTCTATTGCAATATTTTAGTCCTTTTGAGACTACAATCAGGTTCTCCTAATTTCTGGTTACGCTTGGTAAATTATTGCCGCCGCAATAATTTTAGGAAGCTACAAACGTAAGTTGGTACTTGAACTTTACTTAGGTGTAGTCGGTATTTAAGTTTTTTGCAACTAAGATTGTTACAAAAGACTTGAAGGTTTAACAAAATTACAAATCCATGTTGGAGAACAAAACAACGGTTTCGCTTTAACGTAAAGTAGCGGTTTAACCTCCTCCAAGTTCTTTTACTCTTTCTTTTTTTAAATAGGCCATTTCCGAGTCACAAAAACCCTCACTTTCGAGGAAAACGAGGCTAAATGCAAACCCTTTCTTGTCATTATGAGTTGCATTTGCATGAGAATAAAAAATTATTTGGATATTAATTGATTCGCCTTAGCCTCGCCGTGTAACAGAGGCTTGGGCAACTCGGAAATGCCCTATTCTCGTTAATTTGCTGTAATATTCAATTAAAAATGTATGAATATTGTAACGAGAAATTTGGTTTTCATCAGCTAATGCGGGATTAAAAATTGACGGGAAAAGGATTTTCTGTATTTACGGCTAGAAATCAAACAACATGTCAAATTAATGTACTTTATCAGCTCGCTGAAAAGCTCCAATAAACACACTATTACAATGAATTTTACCGTAACCATTACCTGCCTGCTTTATGGGATTTTCCCGGATGTACACGGCAATTTACAAGCAAGGAATGGAATCATTCGGCGGCTTCACACAGGTTTCGCTACTTGTTCAATTCGCTTATTTTTGAGTTCGATACCTACCCTGATACTAGGCTTGCTGATTATACTCAACTCTCGCCTTACGGACACCCTGATAATAAGGACAGCAGCTAAATCCCGGGCAAAAATAAATTACAGATTCATGTTTGACTGACTTAAACTCGCGCTATTACGGACACTCGCTAATGAGGACACTAATTCGAGTTCCCTACAGTGTCCGCTGCCAAGAGAGCTGGCTGTATTGGCAAAGTCCAAAACTTGCACCTTTGGAGAACCAGGTTTATAAGAACAAAAAAATATAAGATTTTTTTCTAATGAGATTTAATGGCATACAGAAAGCCTAATGTGTTGCAAACGTGTTGCGAACTAGGATGTATAAAGAATTATTTTCGACAAGTAGCGAAACCCGTTGTTACTCCTTCGGCGGATGACGAGCTTTCACGATAAACCAAACTGGACTGGGAACAACCTGATGGCTATTAATTTAATCAAAGCTAACGAGATGGTTGTTGTAGGCACAGTCGAGTTGTGTTTGATGTCAAATAGGCACCATCTCTTAAGCCTTTAGTGATTTACCTTCATAACCTGCGATCAGGCGGTCCTTCCTCTCTTTTTACCTGCAATCAGGCAGTCCTTCTGCCTGGAGGCGAAAAAAGAACGCCTGATCGCAGGTTATTACTTTCATAACAATCCTACCGAAACTGGCACCAGCAAATCGATCACCTTCAGCATCAAGGCGGGAAAGCACACGTACATATTTAGAGCTTGCAAGAAATGGCCGGTATAGTCTGCGGCCTGGGCAACCTTTCGTGCATAGTATAGGCTGCCGCAGGCTATCATAATTTTTACCGAGTGAGCTGTTTTTTTTATTTATAATATCTATATAAATGTAAGGAATAACGTCTCACATTCAGCTTCGTGTTCACTTAGAGGAGACAAAAAAGAGCAGTTAAATTCTCCTACGATTAACCGTAAAAATTACAAAATAATTCTTATTACGATAGCCTGGAAGTAGCTTTATGTAGCAATGAGTCAGAACGAGTGTCCCAGTTACAGGGGTCTTGATGGAAAGTAACTCTTAATAATTTAAGTTCGGTATTTCTTCCAATTGAGGGTAACGTATCATTCACCTGTTTGGTCCGTCGCTTTTTCCCCTTAATACCATCTCCCAGGTCTTGCTTAGATTGAAACCGGCGACTAAGAACCTGGTTTTTAAGAACATGCTAAGCTAAAATTTGACAGTTAGGACCCTTCTAAAAGCTTCTAAACAAGAATCTTTTTAGCTTAAAATTGGAACAGGTTCTTATTTTAGTAAAACCTATAAAAAAAATTCTGGACACTTGGGCAAATAAAATAGGTCAACATTCAGAATCCTCTTTGGAGACATAGGTGCCTTGTTACTCTAACTGCAATTGTAATGGTATACAAGTTTTACCTAAGGAATGAGCTTAGCGTACCACAAAATACTTTTAGCTACAATGTATTAACTTTTCTTCAGAAAATAAGAACCTATTTAAGTACCTTTATACTACTACATGAGAAATTTCTGCAATTTGATTGGCTTAGTGGTATTTCAACTTAATTTGAAATACCTGCATGTGAAAATTACAAACCTTTTTCGGGTAGTAGTATAAACAAATAATAGCATGATTTGTACGTGATACTTTGCATAAATACCACTCGTGATACTTCAAAATTGTCTCAAATTTCACTCGCCTAACGGCTCAGGAAATTACGTATAACAATTTCGAAATATCACTCGTGGTATTTATGCCAAATATCACTACAAATCATGCTATTACCTACACAAATAGCCTAAATTTGCGCTAATTACCATTTACATAAGAACCTGTTTAGGCTAACTAGGGAAAATGCAGGTTCTTAGTTGCAGGTTTTTGCTGTATGCCTAACCTTTTTCGTTTCAAGAGAGTCAGAGAGAGCTAGTGTTGATTCGGCTGTAATGCTAAGTGTCACGTCATCCGCATATTTAAGAACAAAATTTCGGTCTGAACCGAAGGAATGAACGTTGAGCTGTTTCTATTTCTATTTTTAGTGTAAAATCATTTACCTTTATATTATTTTATCTAGTATTTATAATTGAAGTTAATCATTAACCAGTTATGTGAATTTCAAATTCAAATTTTCGGAGCCGTTAAAAGATAATTTCTCTCGTTATTGTTGTGGCCCTGAGGAAGGCTAATCTTGTCAGCCGAAATATTGGCCTATAATAAATCAGCCCTTTGCCGTAGTGCCAGCCCTGCATTGAGTTCTATTAAATTTCTTTTCTTTGCGGCTAAATCGTTGACCATAAGGGGAGAAAAGAATGGGCCCCAATATAGTCCCTTGAGGAACACCCTAGCTACCACTGATAAATTCTGTAGATTTCTCATCTCCAGCAACTCGGTGTTGCAAAACAACCCGTTGTTGGGTCGGTGTCGTTGATTATGCTGAGATTTGAGGGAAACAATTCGAAGGGCCAGTTATTAATTAAAGCCAGCAAAATTGCCCGTCCGCTGGACAAGGGTAACGCGGAATTTGGGGACAAGATTGAAAATGCCAAGAGCCATAATGGCTCTTTCAAATACCCTCTTGTAACTTAAAAAGCCTCAAATAACAGTCTGTGGACGCTAGGATGCTATGAAGTCAGTTTTCCATGCACGAAACTGGACTAAATTTTCCTTGCGGTAAGTTCGGCTTTCCCTAGTCTTCAACTGAACTGTGTAACTGATCAGAAAGGCGGACTAATGAACTTGCTGACTTTTTGTAACGAATTTGCTGACTTTTCAATTCGTGGTTATAATTTCGATTGTTTCCTTTGTTGTTTGGTTGTTTCTGCTTTTAGAAATTCGGAAATGAAAGTTTTTCTTTTTACCTCTTCTTTCAGACGCTTACTGGTGGCTTAAAGTGTTAAAGTGTGGAATAAAGGGGCTCTCGTCGCATTTAAACTTCTAATTAACAAACGTTAACGCTTTCGTTCGACCGGGCGCGGAAGTCATGATATAGCATAAGAGCAGAACTGGGCGCTAGTTTGGAAGAGGTATGTACTA